TTGTTTACAAAGCTCTTCATAATAACGGAGAAGCTCGTGTCGGGGTTCTAGATATCACGAAAGCGTTTGATAGGGTTTGGCATGCCAGCCTTCTTCGCAAGCTTCAGGGTTATGGTATTATAGGTCGATTGTTTGATTTAATACAATCATTCCTGTCAAACCGTGTACTGAAGGTCGTTCTCAATGGATTCTTTTCCAGTTCCTATCCCACGAACGCAGGTGTTACCCCAAGGCTCCATCCTAGGCCCTACTCTGTTCCTTATCTTCATCAACGTTCTTCCTGACGTCATAGATTCCCAAGTAGCCATCTACACGGACGACACTACAATTTACTCCTGTCTCAAAAACAAATCTAGTGTTGTTGACAAAACTAACCTGGCCGTTCGTCTCGAAAAGGACCTCCAATCGGTTGTGGACTGGGGCAGGAATTGGTTGGTTAACACTAATGACTCAAAAACAAAACTGCTCTCTATTATTCACCAGTGAGAACCATTAGAATGTCTGATGCTCAACTCCACGAGAGCACCTCTTTGCGACTGCTCGGTCTCACATTGACTGCTGACCTGAGATCGAACAAATATATTGAGTCAATAGCTTCGTCTACCACAAGGAAAGTTGGCTCCCTGTGCCGCGCCAGGAAGATTTTCTCGCCGGAGTCAATCCTTCAAATCTACAAATCAACCATTCGCCCTTCCATGGAGTATTGCTGCAATATATGGTCTGGAGCCACTTCTGTTTGTCTCAAGGTTCTTGATAAAATCCAGAGACGGTTATGCAATGTAATTGGCCCTGATCTGGCATCTCGTCTGCCGTCGCTCTCTCACAGACGTGCCGTCGCCTCCTTCTGTCATTTTTACAAATACTTTCATGGTAACTGCTCCGACTCTGTAAATCCTTTCGTTAACAAGTGGCTAGGATTTTACTTTGGGTGAAATTTTTAAAAAAAAACACTAATCACTTGATGAATGTTATGATCCCTGTTTTTAAAAATATAAACTGTATTAGGTCTTCCTTAAATATCCATGTACCTTCGACGGTTTCTCCGGTCATCATCAGGCATGGAAACTATTTTCTTTTTGATAAAATTATAGTAGTATCCGAGACGAAAAAATATAATGCAAATGGAAATTTGTGGAGCCTACAGTCGCAACGCTAAGGTTGAATTTTTACTAATATGGCATTTTAAGAATTTCTTTGTTTAATATGAATTAAACTGCACTACATATTTGATTTTTAAAAAAAAGAAAACTGATCCAACGTGCAAATTTTCGGAGAAACAACTGAGACATGACTCTACTTATTGAACTATTTTGTTCATGCCACGTTGACTGATAAACTTCTACAACAAAAAAATTCGTAAATTGCCATATTAGTAAAAAATTCTCTCACTTAAATTTTCAAAAATGCAACCTTAGCGTTGCGACTGCACACTCTAAAAGTTTGTATCAGTTGTCAATAACACACTTAAAAAAAAAAAAAAGAAAAGACATATTTCGATTTGCATTATATTTTTTCGTCTCGGATGCTACCTGAATTTTACCAAAAAGAAAATAGTTTCCAGGCCTGATGATGACCGGAGAACCCGTTGAAAATATTTGCATGTTTAAGAAAGACCTAATAGAGTTTATAGTTTTAAAAAAAAAAGGACCATAACATTCATCGAGTAGTTAGTGGGTTAATACATCTTAAAACTTTTGTTAGCGATGTGAATTCGTCATTTTATATCATTAACATTACTAATTTACATTTTGTATGAATGATTCATTGTAATATAAAATAAACTGCACCACATATTTGATATATATAAATTTTCAGATATAGTATATCTGTAAAAGGACTGCATGAATAAAGAAAAAGGAAAAGTTAGCTCATCTTAGGCTTAGATAAGTGTTCCTTTTTCTTTATTCATACATATTGTTATGGTTCAGGTTAGGAAGAACAACACAAACACAAGAGTAGAAATAACGAAGGTATATTACACGAAATAATAATACAAGATGTGGAAGGTGTTAGTATGACTGTCAGTCTGGTTTGGAGTGAACTACTATCGGCTCGACTCGATTTGGTATCTATCCCCCCCACCACCACGAGGGTTGCATGTGGTACAAGGCCGAGTTTAACGTAGGCTCGGCCAAAAAATGCCCGTAGAACCCGTATAAACGGGATCGGGGTGTTCAACCACCCCGAACGAGACTTTGCCCTTCGGCGGAGCCTCGTCCGGGTTCCTCTCTGCTCAGAGGCAGAGAGTTTGACCGTCAAGCCGAGAAGCTCGACTTGATTCATCCCTCTCTCTTGAGAGGCATAGTATACATAGTTTTAGGAAGAGTTCATTCTGTAGTTATAGGTAACACACACACACATATGCACACACATATATACATATAAATAAATAAATAGATAGATAGATGGATATGTTCGGTGAAAGATTATTTTTATTTTTATAGACGAGATAAATAAGATTGCAATACGTAACTAAACTTTTTGGGGTCTAAAACCTCTAATTTTACTGCCACAGCTGACTGATTACATACGAACAAGAGAAGCAGATGTTTATTCCCCCACTCCCACGTTGGCATAATCCAAATTCTTCTTTCCTTATATAATGAATCTGGTACCTGACCAAATGGCCGTTATTTAAAACCAGATACATCTATACATAAATAGTGGCAGCCCTGCATTTGCCTATGTCAACGTTTACGTGTGCCCTTGCTTTGTTAAGAACTCATTATAACTATTTAAGCACTCTTAATGATTAGAATTTATTAACTAGCAGTATAACCCTTCTTCGACTGGGTGTTTTATTACTGGGAAATTTTACCGTTCAATTAGAGCAGTTTAAGTTTAAAGACAGCCCACCCGAAAATCAATATTAGTAACAACAATTGGGTGAAACTGAGGCACATCCCCAAATGGGGGTTAACAATTTGAATGGGGGGTAGCCCTGAAAAGGGACATTTTTGTGTTCTCAATCTTGTTTCAGCCTTACGCACAGCAGCAGTTGAAGGGACGTTTCTTCTCAGCCGTTGAGTCCTTTGATCAGCAGTTTTAGCCTCTCGCGCAGAAGCGTTCAGGTATGTTCTTCCGGAAAGCCGATGGCTACGTTGATCTCCGGACTCAGTGGCTCTGATTGAAGCATTCCGAGAGGCATTTTGAGACAGGCAAATTGAACGTTCTAAAGACGATTCTTTATCTCTTATTCGCATGGCGGACCTGGTAGCAGCGGTTTTTGTGACCTAGGCAAGTTCTTTCCTTTGGTGACATGTCTTAGAAAAGTATTAATTGTTAAATAAAATTTGTGGGCAAATACCAGAAGAGAACGCTGTAAAACTGCAGGGATCACTAAGCTCAAATAAGTTTAGGAAAGGTTGGAAAATTAAATGTTGAGTAATAAAAAAGGAAGCTTACTTATTACTACGGTGAATGAAATAAAAAAACTGGCAGAACTAAAAAAAAAAATTAAATTAGGAACGGCTATAAAAAAACAATGAAAGCAACGCCTTAAAACTGTTTTAGTAGACATTATGCAACGGAAAAGGTAACCTCACTTGAAAGAGATTGATTTCTTGTCCAAGAGAAGAGGAATGTGTAATCAGATCTGGACGTACAGAAGTAGAAACGGAATTAAGCGTTAGCAATGAGCTTAGGACACCGTATTCAATCGGTATGACACGGCGACATTTGGTTGGATGTGTAAAGAGGTTTCGTGCAGCCAATGGGCAACTCAAGGTGTCGCGTTCCGCAGGTCATGCGTATGCGTGTGCATCAGCGCGTGACACATTGCGTGACACAGCGGTGTTGCAGGGCCACACGTACACGCATTACTGCACGCGCTAATTATCAAGGTCAGCAGCAACTGATGAGCAACGTGTGGAGGTGTGAATCACGCCCACACAGCATGGGCTAGATTTATGTTTGAAAAATTCAATTCAATTTGGCTTTTGATTTTTGCGCAAAGTGTAAAACATCAGTTTTTTCGATTTTTCACCTTTTTTCCAGCTAATTTGGACTCAAAACCGGCACTGAAGAATTATCTATCAAACAAAACAAATTTCATTGAAATTGGATGAAAACTGTGGAAACGTATAAACAACATCCGATCACACACACACACACACACACACACACACACACATTTTGAGAATTATAGATATAGATATTATTGAAATAATTTAAAGTATTTATTTTTATTAATGTTTTTATGAACGATATATATCCAAAAACTGATAATAAATAGTAAAAAATTGCTGAGAGTTATAATGGACAGGAAGTAGTGGAGAGCCGTTGTCGCCAACAATTTAGTCTCAAAACCAGCACTGAAGAATTATCTATCAAACAAAAAACATTCATCGGAATCGGATGAAAATTGTGGAAACTCATAAACAACATCCGATCACACACACACAAACACAAACACACACACACACACGTCTTTTCACGTTTTTTTTTAATTGAAAAAACGCTGACCTGGGATTTTTTTGGTTTCCACCCTACAACACTTGTCCGACAGATGAAATGTTATAAGGCTCACTTTTCCATCGGTGGAAAATACTCAGACGATCTACATTCGTTAGTTTAACCAGTTCAAACCTTCGGAACTGCTGAGGCCTCCATCTTTATTATTGCTCCCTTCATCCTTCAGCAAGCACCAGATGAAGACCGGAGGATACAACGGCCAAAGCGTTATGATAACAACAATAAAGGTGAGGATATCCGTCCTAATATAAATAATGATACGTGGCGCGATAATAAAAAGCTCAACTGCCTCTTTCTCTATTCCAAATATAAGTGACATTTTTGTTCAGATTTTTCTGAAAAATTAATAATGGCTGACTCATTTTCACTGTCGGAGAGTCTCAACTAGCCTAGCCATCTCTGTCGCTTCAAGTCGCAACATCTGTGAGAGAACTATTGACCATTCACTGGCATAGAGATATATCTTACGTAGCAGCATGAAAGAGTGGGCGGAAAATTATCCATACACAGCCAAAATCCAATCATACAATAATCAGAGGGGGGGGTGACAGAGAGAGAGAGAGAGATAGTTGAGCGGAGGGAGAGGAGGATGGATAGAGATAACAAGAAGAAAACAGAGAAAATGAGAGAGGAGAGAGAGTGGAGAGAGCTGAGTGGAAGGAAAGAGCGATAAATAGAGATGACTAGAAGTAGGAGAGGGGAGAGAGAATAGAGGAGACGAGATGGAGGGAAGTGAATAGGGAGAAGGAATCAGAAAGTGGTGAGAGGAGAAGGGGGAGAGAGCAAAAAGGAGTAGGAGGAGGACGGATAGAGATGATTAGAAGAAGAAGAAGAAGAAGACAGAGAGAACGTGGAGAGGAAATGGTTGAAAATAGACACAGATGAGAAGAGGAAGAGGTAGAAAGATTTTATATTTTAATGAGAGGGAAAGAGAGAAAGAGGACTGAGAGGAAGAAGAGGAGGAAATATAGAGATTCCAAGAAGAAGAAGAAGAAGAAGAAGAAGAAGAAGAAGAAGAAAATTTTTAAAGACAGAGAGAACGGAGAGGAAATGGTTGAAAATAGACACAGATGAGAAGAGGAAGAGGTAGAAAGAAACTGATGAGAGGAAAGAGAGGTAGAGGAGCTGAGAGGAAGAAGAGGAGGAAATATAGAGATGAGAAGAAGAAGAAGAAGAAGAAGAAGAAGACAGAGAGAACGTGGAGAGGAAATGGTTGAAAATAGACACAGATGAGAAGAGGAAGAGAAAGAAAGAAACTGATGAGAGAAAAGAGAGGTTGATAGAAGGAAGAAGAGGAGGAAAGATAGAGATTTGAGAAGAAGAAGAAGAAAGAAGAAGAAGAAGAAGACAGAGAGAACGTGGAGAGGAAATGGTTGAAAATAGACACAGATGAGAAGAGGAAGAGAAAGAAAGAAACTGATGAGAGAAAAGAGAGGTAGAGGAGCTGAGAGGAAGAAGAGGAGGAAAGATAGAGATGAGAAGAAGAAGAAGAAGAAGACAGAGAAAATGATAGAGGAGAGAGAGGAAGGAGGCTGTGGAGGGAAAGAGTGAAGGATAGAGATGACCGGTAGTAGTAGAAGGGGGAAAGAATGAGAAGGGAGGTGATGGAGGAAAACAGAGAAAGATGTAAAGAGGGAGAAGAAGACATAGTGATGAGATGAGAGAGAGTGAGATAGCGAAAAGGACGGATAGAGATGGGTGGAAGGAGAAGAAGACAGACAGATTAAGAGAGGTGGAGATAGAGGACAATAGAGAGAGAAAGACAGAAAGTGAAGAGAGAGGGAGAGATCAGAGTGGATGGAGAGGAGGAAGGAAAGAGAATACTGGAAGGAGAAAAAGAGAATGAGAGGAGAGGAGATGGAGGAAAACAAAGAAAGATGAGAAGAGGGAGAGGAAGAAAGAATGTGATGAAAGGAGGTAGATGGAGACAGCTGAGTGGACAGAGAGGAGGAAGGAAAGAGATTACTCGAAGGAAAAGAAGACAGAGAGAATGAGAGGAGAGGAGATGGAGGAAAACATAAAGTGATGAGCGGAGAGAGAGGGAGAGAGCTGAGTGGTGAGGAGAGGGAGATAGACAGAGATGACAGGAAGGAGCAGACGACAAAGAGAATGTAAGGAGGTTAGAAAGAGAAAAACAGAGAAAGGTGAGAAGAGGGAGAGAAAGACAGAAACTGATGAGCGGAGAGAGAGAGGGAGAGAGAGAGAGCAGAGGAAGATAGACTGAGATGAAGGAAGGAGCAGACGACAAGAGAATGGAAAGGAGGTTAGAAAGAGGAAAACAGAGAAAGGTGAGAAGAGGGAGAGAAAAAAACAGAAATTGATGAGAGAGAGAGAGAGAGAGAGTGGAGAGAAGAAGAGTCAAAAAGAGATGTAAGGAAGGAGCAGACGACAAAGAGAATGTAAGGAGAAAGAAAAAAGAGAGAAATAACAGAGAAGAGGGAGAGAATGACAGAAACTGATGAGCGGAGAGAGAGGAGAAAGAAGTGGTTAATATAGAGGAAGATAGACTGAGATGACAGGAAGGAGCAGACAGACAATGAGAATGTAAGGAGGTTAGAAAGAGGAAAAATGAGAAAGGAATTAAAGAAAGAGGGAGAGAAAGACAGAAACTGATGAGCGGAGAGAGAGAGGGAGAGAGTTGAGTGGTGGGCAGAGGAAGATAGACTGAGATGACAGGAAGGAGCAGACGACAAAGAGAATGTAAGGAGGTTAGAAAGAGGAAAACAGAGAAAGGTGAGAAGAGGGAGAGAAAGACAGAAACTGATGAGCGGAGAGAGAGGGAGAGATTTGAGTGGTGGGCAGAGGAAGATAGACTGAGATGACAGGAAGGAAAGAGAAAAGAGAAAGAGAAGGAGGTTAGAAAGAGGAAAGATAGAGAAAGATGAGAAAGAAATAGAGAGAAAGACAGAAACTGATGAGGAGAGAGAGAGGGAGAGAAAAAAGGGGAGAGGAAGATAGACTGAGATGACAGGAAGGAGCAGACGAAATGAGAATGTAAGGAGGTTAAAAAAAAGGAAAACAGAGAAAGGTTCAAGAAGAAGGGAGAGAAAGACAGAAACTGATGAGCGAGAGAGAGAGGGAAAGATATGAGAAAGTGGGGAGAGGAAGATAGACTGAGATATAAGGAAGGAGCAGACGAAAAAGAGAATTAAGGATAGAAAGAGGAAAACAGAGAAAGGTGAGAAGAGGGAGAGAATGACAGAAACTGATGAGCGGAGAGAGAGGGAGAGAGTTGAGTGGTGGGGAGAGGAAGATAGACTGAGATGACAGGAAGGAGCAGACGACAAAGAGAATGTAAGGAGGTTAGAAAGAGGAAAACAGAGAAAGGTGAGAAGAGGGAGAGAATGACAGAAACTGATGAGCGGAGAGAGAGAGGGAGAGAGTTGAGTGGTGGGGAGAGGAAGATAGACTGAAATGACAGGAAGGAGCAATGACAAAGAGAATGTAAGGAGGTTAGAAAGAGGAAAACAGAGAATTTGAGAAGATATAGAGAATGACAAAACTGATGAGCGAGGAGAGAGAGGGAGAGAGTTGAGTGGTGGGCAGAGGAAGATATGACTGAGATGACAGGAAGGAGCAGACGACAATGAGAATGTAAGGGAAGAGAAAAAAAAAAATAGAAAGGTGAGAAGAGGAAGAAAGAAAGAAACATTGATGATGGAGAGGAAGGAGAGATTTGATATGGTGGGCAGAGGAAATAGACTGAGATGACAGGAAGGAGCAGACGACAATTAAGAATGTAAGGAGGTTAGAAAGAGGGAATATAAGTTCAGAGATAAGGTGAGAAGAGGGAGAGAGAAAGACAGAAACTGATGAATATAGGAGAGAGAGGGAATATTTAATTGGTGGGGAGAGGAAGATATAGACTGAATGACAGGAAGGATTATGTATTAAAGAGAATGTATTTTGTCAATTTAGAAAAAGGAAAAGAGAAATCAAAGAAAGGAGAGATGGGACAGAAACTGATGAGCGGAGAGAAATAGGGAGAAATGAGTGATTTTTATTACAGAAATAGACTGAGATGACAGGAAGGAGAAGACGACAAAGAGAATGTAAGGAGGTTAGAAAAGGATAAAAAAGAGAGGTAGAAAAGAGGGAGAGAATGCTAGAAATTGATTGTGGAGAGAGAGGGAGAAATATTTGATATGATTAAAAGGAAATAGACAGAGATGACAAAAGGAAAAGAGACGACAAAGAAAATGTAATTGTTAGAAAGAGGAAAAAGAGAAAGGTGAATGGGGAGAGAATGACATAAACTGATTATGGAGAGAGAGGGAATTTTTAAAATGGGGAGAGGAAGATATTTATCCATGAACTTAAATAGACGAAATGAGAATGTATGGAGATATAAAAGATGAAAACAGAGAAAGGTGAGAAGAGATTTTCAAAACAGAATATGATGATAAAAGAGAGAGAAAAGATTTGATAGAATTTAAAAAAATATAGACTGAGATGACAGGAAGGAGCATATTAAAGAGAATTTAAGGAGTTTGCAAAATGGAAAAAAGCTTTGGGTTAAAGGGACAGAAAGAAGAAATGATGAGCGGAGAGAGAGGGAGAAATATTTTTAAATGGTTGTTCAAAAGATAGATAATGAGATGAAATACCTTATGAATTTTAAGAACAAAAATAAGAAAATTTTTATCCTTTAGGTTAAATACAAGAAATAATTTTAAAGGGAAAAAAAGACAGAAATTGATGAAAAGAGAGGAAGAGAATGAGTGGTGGAGAAAGAAGAGAGACAAGATGACAGGAATTTTGACAGACGACAAAAAGGAGAATGTCCTTTTCATTTAAAAAAAAAAACAGAGAAATTGCTGAGAAGAGGGAGAGAAAGACAGAAAAAAATGAGAGAAAGAGAGAGGAAACCAGAGTGGTCATTTGAAAAGAAACGGATAGAGTCGACAGGAAAGAGAATAATGTGAGAATTTTAAGGAGATTATATTACGCCAAAAGAGAAAGATGGAAAAGGAAAAAGAAGACAGAAAATTATTCGAGAGAGAGAGAGAAAGAAAAAATTAGATTGATATATATATTTAAGAGTAATATATATATATTTAAATGAATAATGATATATATATATATATATATATATTATATATATATATATATATATATAAGAAATGAATTCAACAAATATGCCAATCTTGGATAAGATATTCTTTATTTTGTTTATCTGCCGCTGAAATCAGAGCGTTTAGAACGAAAAAACAAAAAAAATCAAAGAAATATTATCTAGCTATTAAAAATTATTAAAAAAAAATTGAAATAAAAGTAATTTACTTATTAACTAACCTTCTATAAGACTCTCATGTTATAACTTATATTGCGTCACTGCCAGCGAAAATAGTCCATCTTTCTTATAATTAACTCGACACGGTTTCAGAACAGAAAAGAAAAGAAAAAGTTATTTGAAAAATTAACTATATATAAGCACGTGTTTGGTTATTTAGTGTCGAATATAAGGTCGAGTAATGGAAGAGATGACAAAAGGACAAAAGTTATTACGAGCAACAAAGGACAGAAAATTGTGGAGAGCCATGATCGCAAACACCCTGAAGGTATACGGCATAAAGAATATGTAACGTTGCAGGAGGCTTATTACTGTAGAAATTCTCTTCGAATGGTCGAACAGTTTTTGTATACTGCCTTGATATTGTCTGGACTATAGATTTTCTGAATCTTTTTCTGACAATGTTCCGGTATAAAATCGATATACCGTGACTGTTTTTCGGTTATCGCCCCGGTTCGTTACTACTCTACTCTATGAAATTGTTATGCTTTCTTTTAAAAAAAATTGTAGCTTTTAATGGCGTACGTCTCCTGTTAGAATGAGTATCAATCACTATGTATTCGTTTTAATATATAGGGCACATATGGTATTTGAGGATAAATTTACGTCTTTGCAAAAGATCTGCACATCTTCTTGGTGTGACCTGAATATGAAGATGCCATATACGTATCTGAACCTCATTACGGCTTTTAATAATGCGGATCTTAAGGCCATTTCCCCGATGTAATCCATTTACGTGTTTGCAATTACTGGTGATAACAGCGAACCCATGGCCAGCCCAGTTTGGAAGATGTTGTTTCTGTCAGAGAAGTAAATATATGAATTTTGCAGGTGTTCTGACTTTTGATCAAATAAATAGATAGATTATTCTTTCCTCTTTCAGTTCATTATTAATGTTTCTGTTTTTAATTCTGCCACATCTAGTAGCTCCGTATGTTTTAGTGACTTTACTGTCCTTTTTTAGGCGAAATCGATTAAAAAGTCTACACGTTCTGCAGCGAACGATAAAATATGTTGGTGCAAGGTCAGGAGAATATGGGGAATTTGAAGCATGTTATTATATATTTACCTTTGTCATTTCGCTGCATTTTATATTGAACACCCTCGTATGTAAAGCCAATTTTTCATCACCTGTTATGATAATATTCAGAAATGTTTAATTAGGATGATACACTGTGCATTACATTTGGTTCCCAAATACATAAATTACTTATCACTCGATGTCATAGATTAGAATATTTCCTTTGGAAACTTCTCTGGAATTTTTTCACCTCCTAATGTCGGGCTATCTACAAAATAAAACGATAATGTTTATGGCGATTAACTTTTAACTTTTACGGACAGATTCTAAACTATTTCATTAATAGTTTGTGTTGAAACTTGACTAATGCATGGAATAATAATGCAACAAAATGTACTTAGAACAAAATGTATTGAAACAAGAAAGTGTACACAATATTTACATATAGTCTTTTGTATATTCCTGGTAAGACCGTTCCTGGAGAATGTGTTGACTGAGTCGCAGTCGGGCAGAGTCACTGGTTGAATCTCTTGATTCTTTCCTCTCTTCCCGGTACCAACCATATTTATATGGTCGGTACTCCACTATGCAAATTAGGTGGATCCTACCACAACAGTTTGGTTCATTAAATATGCAGAATGGCGCGTAAAATGAAAATCGCCTTGCATTCATAATATAACTTCTACAGCGATGTGTAACGTGTCAAATGGCCTCGATTCAACTGGTACTATTTTTACTTTACAAATGTGCCAACAAGGAATAAGTAAACAAGAAAAATAACATTCAACAAGAGAAATGGCTTAAGTATCAGGTCACCCCATAAGTTCTGTTCGAATTTTGAATAAAGAAAACAAGTGACCAAATGTTACATTTAATTACAGATTCAATCAACAATGTATTTTCCCTGATTATCTACGATTTCCTTCCATCTATTAACAAGCTTACTAATTCCATTACTGTAAAATTATTTTTGGCTTTGATTCGAAGAACTCACAAATGTCAGTTTTAACCTCTTCCTGTGTTATAAAAAGCCGTTTCTTCCAAATGATTCTGTAAGCTTATGAAACAAATGGTAGTCTGAAGGAGCAAGATCAGGAGAATAAGGTGGATGAGGAATTTTCTCCCAACCAAGTTCTTCGATTTTTTGTGACGTGATTCTTGCTGTGTGGGGTCGCGCATTGTCCCGATGAAACATCACCCCTTTACGATTCACTAGAGCAGGTCTTTTCCCCAACTGATAAATGAGGATTTTCTTCAAGGGCTACTTCAAGAAGCTTTTCATCAAACTCAACTGGACGTCCGGTTCGATATTCAACTTCAAGGGTGAAATCTCCACCTCTGAATTTTACAAACCATCTTCTGAAAGTTCTTTCATTCATACATTCCTCTCCATAAGCTGAGTGAATGTTTCTAGCCGCTTCGGCTGCTGAGTTTCCTTTCTTGAACACATAAAGCATTATGTGCCTTAAATGATTCTTGGCTACTTAAATGTTAGCAGGGTTTTAATCAAAAAAAATTTAATTTTATTGTTCTCTGAAATAAAATTTGATCAATTTAAATGCATCTAAACATAAAAATAATGTTCAGCTCCATAAGACATTATAAAACACTCTTTAAATTTTGTTCATTTTAACAAAAAGTTAAAATTCGGACAGAACTTATGGGATGACCCGATAAATGGAGTTTCTATATGCATAACACCAACTGGACAGACGGTAATTCAGTGAACGTAGAGATTTAGTTGAAGTATGTATTTGTTACTGGAAAATGTTCTTTTGACAGGTGAAATATGTTTTTGTGAAGAATGTTCATTTTTGTGTGCAAGTGATATAGAATCTGTAATTAATAAATTTGTTTAAAATAATTAAACAATTTCTAACATTATCTATAGTTGAAAGTCCGATGTTTAAATATAACAGGAGTTATTTACCTTTAACTGCTAGTTGAATTGGTTAATATTTTAAGTAAAATATATTTTTAACTGGACTCAGAGAAAAAAGATTTCAGTTCAAGAAATAATAGGAAGTTTCGATGGAAAGCATGTTCTTCGATAAGAAGGTGTTGTAGGCCGAAATTCGGTGTAAGATGAGTTCAAAGAAATTTATTGATTGAGAGAAAATCTTTATTGAATATCGAACATTTTTATTTGGGACAAAAATGTAGTTTTTAGCTTTAAATCAGCATAATTATATGGAAGTTTCTTGCCGCTTAAATTCGTTCACCGAAGAGAGAGGAATTCTGTTGAGATGTGAAAGTTGTATTCTCTCTGACGGTATGTTTGTTGCTGAAGAAAATCTCACTGTTAGAAGTTGATAAGTTTCTGTGTCCTTGTAGTTGAAGGAGTGAATAAGATGAGTTCAGAGGTATACAATGTTCGTACATACGTACGTTTGTGCGCGCATAAGGAACAAACGCGGGCTCTTCACTGAACTACATTGTTGTGGTTCTGAGAAGGAAAGAGAAAGGATCAAGATGTGTCAAAGTATTTATAATGCTGTATGTCACGTGACCGGCTCGAGAACCCATAGACAGATTTTGGCGGTAAATTAATTTTAACCGTGCAGACGTAGACGAAAGAATGATATTGGCATTAATTGAGCAATCAGGAATCAGAGAAATATCAAGGCCCTGTGATCCACTTAGGTGTTTAGTTTGGACAAAAATTTCCGTCGAAAGCTAGTGGTAACAGAATGCTAAAGGTGTGTAATGAGGAGAAAGAAAACCGTTAACATTCAATGGCAGCCTTAAAGAATACGTCTTATACCAGCTGTAACAGCAAAATTGTCCAAATCGTGTTACAGCATAAGTGTCCATCCCACATAATGTTTAATATAAAAAAAACACTAAACTAATTGAGTTTCTTTTTTCCAGGTTTTCAGATGAGATGTTTATAGCCATCTTGACACTAGTTGTCGTAAGAATCCCTGAAAAAAGTCTTTGAGTTATTCAGCTATAAAGAGAACAGGTTGAAATCGTTTTGTGCCAGCCTCATTATGTCTTCCCATACGGAGCAATGGTGAGAGGAAAAAGATCATTCAGGCCTTCAGTAATGGTACCAACATTCATACTCTGGCTTCCATCTTCAAAGTCCATTCAAGAACCATCAAGAGAACGGTGAATAAATTTTTAAAAAAGAGCACAGTAGAGAGCAAAAAAAGGATCATGAGATCACAACAAGAAGATGGATCATCATTTCAACTTAGAGCTACATACATTCTTATTGTTCAATGTAGAGTTTAATAGTGTTATAAAAAACCTCGGAGAATTCCAGTAAGATATCTTTAATCAATTCTAAGATACAACGGTTCAGAGCTTAATCTAACAACTGGACAATTTTGCTGTTACACGATTTGAACAATCTTACTGTAGACACTCGGTATATCGTATCAATTTCATTATAACATTTCTATTATAGTTCTGCTGGCGCCGCGTCACTTTCATTAGTTCCTTAGTTATTTCGCACGACCGATACGCACTGACAATACCTCCAAAATAATGGACTGTACTGTTTTGACCGCGTGAACTGACATATCAGGGACGCTAGTTGCTTTCAGTGAGAAAAAGAAAGAGATATTTAAGTCTGTTTCGGGGAAATCGAAGAAGTTGCCAATTTCAAATCTTTTCATTTGTACACAATTCTTTGTTTTTAATGATTTCACCCCAGGGAAGGCTATAAATCCACTAAGACGCAAGTGTTAAAGAATATGAGGAAAAATGCTACTAAGGAGAAAGAATAATAAAAGAATAAGAATTAAGAAGACAAAAGATGACGATTGACACTGCATTTAAATTTTTGACGAGCTAAGTTGACAGGGAAGCAAGAAGCCTGTTATGGGATCTTATCCATAATAATAATAATGGACTATTCCATACTGAATAAATACTGCGCCTCAGGAGTAGGCAAGGAGTCAGTAGTTCAAGTCGAGTCAAGAGTCGAGTCAGAGGCAGTCCGAAACAGAGTCGCGTTCAGACAATTGCTGCAAGACATTGGGATAGTGATACTGGTTGAGACTACATTGTTCTTCTCTACTAAATCTAATTGTTCATACTAACACTTCTACTTCTCTGTATATATTCCTGTTTGTAATATACCTGTGTTATTCCATACCTGTGGTCGAATTCTTCTCTATTGGTTCTACCTTGGACTATCACCGTGATACAAGGAACCGGACCATAACAAAGCCAGAAGAGAGTTCCACAAGCGAGAGGTGCGATAGAAGAAACTGTTAGCATAGAACTTACGGTTCCATCTAGCCATTCCAACTGTAAAATGATGAGATCTTGCTGTCAATCTAGTACTGCTCTTAAATTTATGAAGTCTAGGGACCATAGAGGACAGTTCATCACAACAATTACAGTGAATGCATTTATAGAAATGCCACAGGGAAAGGGGGAAAGTGATTGAAGGCGAGGTGCCAGGTGACGACCAATAAAATTGCAGATTTTATCAAGAATCTCAAAATATATAACAGGAGCACCAAACCAAATGTGGTAGCAGTATTCAGAGAAAGGACGAATGGTAGACTTATAAATATATAAGATAGTTTCAGGTGAGAAAAAAATTTCTAGCACAACACAGGGAGCCAACTTTCATAGTAGCAGACCTAGCAATTGATCCGTTATATTCTTTCTACTTCATCGGAAAATGTAAGTTCGAGAAGGCGCAATGAGTCACTCTCCTGGAGGTTAGCATCAGCCATGCTGATGGAAGGTCAAATTTCTCACAGACGATTAAAAGATAGCAGGTGCGTTATGGATTTTATTGGTGATATTTTTTTTTAATTCAAATTCTTAAAATTGACATATATAAGCACCGTCTCATTTTATAAAGTTTTCTTTCTTTTTTTTTTTTTTTTTTTTGTTATTCATCGTTTTGTATAGAAAGAATTTTAGCAGAATTTTTTATAAAATCCAGTCGTAATTTTGAAAAGAATTCAGTGCCTACATCTAAAGATAAATTTAAATAGATGTAATCTTGGCTTCTAAAAATAAGTTGTTTTGTTTTTAGAAGTCGACAAAATAATTGAAGAGAATATTAAATTTTTAATAGAATTTTAGCCCCGGTAACGTTCGTTACAGTCTTATATCCTGCAGCGTTCGTAGTAAACATTTTGGTCGTCTGCCATTTCATATTATTATAAATTAGTCAAACGGAGCTGGAAATTAACTAAAAATAAATATTTTAATTATATTTTCTTAAAAATGTACCGAATTATTTAAACAGGAGAAAAAATTGTAAGTTTACTTGATAAATTCTTTGTATTATTAATACAAACATTAGAAAACTATGTCAATGATCAGCTCCATGTATCTTAGTCTAGAGCAGCGTTTCTCAACCTTTAAAGCCTTGCGAAACCTTTGAAATAGTTTTTATGCCCCAGGGAACCCCGGCATAAATATTTTTATATACCATTATAAAATGTATCATTTTTACATTTTTTATCGTAGTTTACGTGGTAAGCATAACGTATAGACAACAGGCATGTACTCAAGTGAGTCACTCAATTCGCCCCGTACAGCTTCTGTCTACTAAGTAATGAAGGCCGTTTCACTCTAACGCTAAATAAGTCTCTCTATATTTCTGAGATGAGGTATTATTGGAAAATTCGTAAACTGAAGGAAACAGCACATATGCTAGGCCACAAAAATCTCCTGAGCCGACCAAGCATGGAAATAAATACAATATGGGAACCAGTAATAAGGAGTGTCAGAGAAAAGCAATGATAACAAAGTTGCAATATGAACTCTGGTAAAGACATGCAATGATAACAGCAAAATTGCAATATGAGCACTGGTAAAAATGATGCTGAAAACATTAGGTTTATAATACTCAGAAGTTCATACCCAGATGTCCTCAAGGACACATGGCATAGTGTTGGTTAGATCCAGTGACAGACCCAAAGAAGGTGAGTTCAATACCTGGTTAAGGCAGTGGAGAACTTTCAGAGGGAAAATTAACAAGAGATAACTGACATTCATCAAACATGGCACGTGGAACTAGAACAGTCTACCCCAGTGATCGAAATAAAGGGTTCAGTTCGAAATTCCAACCACCTGAAGAAAGCCGGAGCGTACAACGGCCGAAACGTTGTGACAAATATGGCGACAAAGATGAGGACAATAGTCCGACTAATGTAAATACTATCGCTAAATAAATCCCATATAATTATTGTAATTTTAAATAATATAAGAAGTTGAAGCCTTTATTATGAGAACCAAGGATTTTCCAATAATATGCCGTACCTGTGTAACAAAATTACGAATATAAAACTGAACAAAACTTACTCAAAAATACATTAGCCTGTTTATCACTGTTTCTTTCCGAACCCCTAACAACCACTTTCCGGGGGAACACTGGTTGAGAAACATTGATGTAGAGTAAGAACTTCAAATTGATTTAGCATTATGACAAAAGAATCTTTAGCAAATAGATATCTCATTGAAAATGTTTTTACAGATCTTTGAGAGAGATACAGTACTTCTGTAACAACTTTTGTCTTCTCGTAGGACAAATATTTGGCAAGTACATTCAAATGCATGTAAATTCTGAAAACCCACCAGTATGACTACCTAGAAATATATTTTTGAAGATGCCTAATAAGTTTTCGAATGTGGTCCTACACATGCGTGGAGTAAATTTAATAAAAGCTCGCCAACCGCAAGAGAATTGGAAAAACGCGTCAATTAGTGAAGAGGAGAGGAACTGTTATATT